TCTGCCTGGCCATGGGAGAGACACGAGTGGCAGGAATGCAGGAGCTGCCACCTGGCATGGTGCTCCCTGGTGCCCTGCTCTTGCATGCAGGAATGGGGAACACTGGTGATTCGGGGGTATGTGGGAGAGGTGGGTGGTATATGATGTTCAAAACTGGTTTTACTCTAGTGTTGCTGCCTGTAGCCTCTTCATTCAGTTCTGAACAGCTCCTGCTCTCCCAACAAGTCTTCAGGGATATCTTTGTGTTGTTTTCTTCTCCAGTCCATCCTGAGCTCCCTTTGCTGGGTAAACACCCAGGCAACCCTGGCTGCATGGAACTGATGGGGCTGGAGGCATCACTGGCTGGGACAAATTTGTTTTTGGGAGAGAAGTGAGAAGGGAGCAAGAGCAGCAAAATGGGCTCATAACACAGACTTGCAGGCAGCAGGCTGGGGAGAAACCAGCCAGCAACTCATATGGGACCCCCAGCCAAAGCAAGTCAAATGGGTACTAAAGCAACAGATTTGCTCTCATGGGCTGGAAGGGGGCTGGTGGAGGGTCTGTGGCAGCATCAAGCCAAAGAGACCCACAGGGGACACCACGCACTTGAGGCATAGATCTCATCAATGTGAGCAGAAAGTGACTGGTACCCAGAGGTCAATCCATTAAACTCTGCTAGAATGAGCATGCCTGAGCTGAAAGGGGAAGGAGAGACACTCAGATCTCCATTAAACTTTAACACTCAGCCCCAACTTGCATTCAGCGAGACAGTAAAAGCCTTAGGATTTCTGGGGATTGATCCCAGTCATGATGCAAAATACCAATGCTGAGCCTTGGAGATGGAGCAAGGAGTGAGCCAGAGCCCCTGACAGCCCTGGCAGAAAGCAGAGAAATAAATAAAAGAAATTAAGTCCCAGATTAAAAAAAAAAAAAAAAAAAAGACAACATGCCTGCCCTGGGTGGGAGAGGCCATTGCTGCCAGACACAACCCATCAGGGCAGGAGCCCAGTGCCATCCTTTTCCCACGCCTTCCTCACCCTCTCTGAGTGCTTTCAGCTCAGAGCAGGGACATCTACTTATCCACAAATATTCCCTTCCCTGGTTCCATGCCTGGGCTAAACCTCTAGCACAGGGGCATTAATGCAGTGCATGAATAAGCTTTTAAACTCTCGTGGATGTTTGCTCAGCACCCGTGAATCCAAGCCCCTGAAAGAGCCCTTTTTTCATGGAGGAGATGGAAGAGGAGCTCCAGGGAGGTGCTGAGGGTGACACAATAAATTGGCATAAAGTTAATAAAGTTATTGACTCCTACAAAACAACTAATCCGTGCACAGGACTTTTGCAAGGACACGCTCACCACAGAGTCACTTGCTGGTTCACAAGAAATGAAATTACAGGCTGCTGTAGCTGTGTCTCTGTCATACTGGTGATGGGACAAGGAGGAGTTTTTGGCTGAAACAGCAGCTCTGGAAAGAGTTAATGGCACATGAGATTTGTTTGGTGGGATTTGGTATTTTTTTTAACTTCAACAAACAAAGCATATGAGAAAATCCAGTTCACAGCTGAGTCCTGGCTGTCTGCCCACTAGGGCAGGGAAAATGCAGATGGTTTGAAATACCCACGCGCCTGCCTTTCCCATGCAGCCTGTGGCTCAGGGTCCCCAGCAGGTCTCCCCCCATCGTATTTGAATAAATCAAGGTGGCAGCAGTAAAAACTGCAGTGTAAAAGCAGCACTGAGACAGGAGAAAATCTACTTTCCTTGAGCACCATCGGCTTCATCAGACACACAGAGGAGCCAGGATCCTGTGAAGCTCTGCTTGTTCAAAAACAGTAATTAGCTCTCAAAGTAAATAGGTGTTAACAGCAACAAAGAGCTTTGCCACAGTCTGGGTAAACACTTCAGAATCAATTTTATTTCCCTTCTCCTGGCAGAGGTAATCTGCAATTATTTTCAGGTTGGGGCAGGAAACAAAGCCACTGGGGCTGCTCCTTGGGACAGCCCGCAGGACCCACCACTTCACTGGCATTTAGGCCCCTGAGGCTGAAACGAGCTTCCTTCCGCCAAACCAGATGTGTAACCTAGCCGGTGATCAGCACACCCAGCAGTGAACCACAGCATGACATTAAACAGCCCTACAGTCCAGCCCTATTTCTTAATCCTGAGAGTCCCCCAGTCTAGACAGGACATGAAGGACTAATGCAAAAACCAAGCAACAGAATATTTACACTCTCCCATCAAGCTGCAAGCAGAAAGAAGCATCAAAGGGTGTTTAGCCCTTTAATCACTTTGCCTTTTGGGAGCATGGGCAGCACCCAAGCATGGTCCCACACTGGTGCAGAGGATTTGCAGCCAGTTTGTACCACTGCACGCTGCTGCATCTGGGTTGTCCATCTGCTTACTAAATTGTGCTAAAAAGCAACTGAAAACCTGTCTTTTCCCTACCATCATGGGGAGCTGGCGAAACAGGTTTTTACCCAAACTGCCCCAAAAGCTAATGAGTTTGTCCTCCATCACCACTGGGTTAAAATCAAACCAGTGATCAGTGGCTGGGGCTCAGCTGATGTGGAGTGTCCTTCTGAGGAGGAGGTAATTCAGCATGTGATGGCAGCTGTAGTAAATGTGTTTGCTGGTGATGGAGAATTTACCCAGCTGAGATGTGAATACAACCCAGCTGGGAACAGCCTGGCTCTGTGGCCAGACCTAGCAAGGCTTTTGGGCCAGTATAAAGCAGTCACACACCCAGGAACAAGTACAACCAGAAAAATGTGCACAGTGACTTCCCCAGCAGTTTCTGATCTTGTTCTGCCACGCTGACTGTCTGCTGGGAGATGGATGTTTAGTTAATTAATTGCTACAATTAGCATGGAGCTATTCCTGTCCATGATGGTTACCCTTTCCTCCCCTTTTTGGTTCCTCCAATTACTGACTCATTCATTCTCCAAGGCAGAGGCCACAAGGCACAGAGAGGCTTGAGGATGAAGAGAAGAAGGTCCAAGAACAAAATGCCAAGTGTCCCAAGACCTATTTCTACCCAGGAACTGTCTTAATCTCATGCAAACTCCTTATCCTCTCCCACCCATAAACCCATGACTTCAAGGAGCTGATGAAGAGGGAACACAGCAGTTACAAACATTGCTACAGCTGTTTTATTTCTCTCTCCAGCTGACCCATCATGAAGGGTAGGTGATGGGCTTGTACATGCCAAGATGGACAAGACTCCCAACACCCATTCCACTCCAATGATCCCTCAACTTCTCTACCCAGCCTTGGGCCATGGGTTCTTCAAATGAACATTACCTACTTTGGGAAATTGATGATTTATTTGCCATTACTTAGCAGGGACGGTGAAGGAAAGGTGAACATGGGGTCACCCATGCAACGGCCAAAGCAAAGCACAAGCTCTGAATAATTCATGATCCCTCTTTGCCGCAGCATCTGGACACATCTGCTGCATTTGCCCCTGTAGGCTTTTTCTTGGCTTACTCAGAAAATCACGCTTTGGCAGCTGGGTACTGTTTCAAGTGGGTACTTTCCCTGAAGCATTAACGAGCTGTGATTTTGTTACAAATAGGGATTTTTGTTCCTCTTTTGCTGATGTCACTCGATGATCCTGCAGGGAATAGTGCTCAGATCTCTGCAGCCTGACGATCCCTGTGTGCCCTTTGGGACAGATGTACTTGCAAGCAGGAGATTGTTTTTCCTTTTGCTGCCCAGATTTATATTTCACTGAAGTCCTGTATCGATCCTGTTGCCGCTGGGCTGAGAGCTCGTTTTACTAAATGAGAAGAAAAACAGTTCCCCCAGCTGAACTCACGCAAAATGGAAAATCCTGCAACAAAACAGCTCTTAAAAAGGGGGCCTGAACAATCTTGCTGAACCTTGAGGGCTGCGCTGCTGATATTGGAACGGTATGTAATTTATTTAGCCTGACCTTTCCCTAAAAGACCGGGCTGGCGACGTTATCAAGGATCCTTTCTACCACTTGTACACCCATTGCCAAGGTGACATCCTGTTTCATGCGTCAGCCAGCGAAGATCGCATCCGCGCTGCTGTGATGCTTTGTTTGCTGTCCTGCCTGACAAGCTCTTGGCAGGGTTTCAGCTCCCGCGGATGGCAGCTGCTCCACGAGGGACCAAAACAGATTCAAGCTGGACGTTATTACAGGGAGTTTCACGCAGACAGAGCATGAGACTGGAGTCCCTTTCCATGAGACTGCATCATGGATGAGATGAAGCAAAGATGCCCAGAGGTGCTACCAGGCATAATGGGACTGGCAGGGGACCGCAGTGCTGTACACCAGGCTCAACCCCTCATCCCATCTCCCTCAGGATTTATATGTGTCCTCATGGTACTGGGAAAGCAGAGGAAGCTCACTTTTGCTTAATGCAGAGGCTTGCCAAAGCACAGTCGAGTTTGGATGCTGAAGAATAACCAGTAGAACAGATCCCACCACTGCACAAAACTACCTGTCCCCCTCCCAGAGGGTGCTTTTCCAGAGGGTCCCAGGAAGAGACAGGGACGTAGGTGTGGGGTATGTGTCTGTCCTTCACATGAGAGCCTGTCAGCAGTGGAGAAAACTGCAGTGGGGAGGAAAATGGTTCCCATAAAGCTTCTCCCCCCACTTCACCAAGGGATTGAAACCACTGAATGAGTAGTATTTTTCACTGGTGGTTCCCACCACTCTCAACAGCATTTCAGCGACACATGGGGACAAAGGCTGCAGCTAAAAAAGTCTCCAATCCCTACCAACTTCTTGTAAGAGACTACATGGTCTACAGTTATAAGGGGTAAAAATTACTTAGGTGGCTCACAGGAACAAAGCCAGCTCTGCTTCAGATGTCAAAGGTAGGCAAGCTTCATGGAAGTTTCCTACACGCCCATCCATTTCCCACTCCAATCCTGCCAGCCTTGGGGCAGGCTGAACTCCCCTCCCACAGGTCTGATCTGAAAGAGGAGCCAGACTCCACTAGGAGGACAGGCCAGAAGATGCTCTTGGCCATGGATATGGCTCTCATGGTACCTGTGTTCTCCTCGGACTGGTTGAAGCCACAGATCTGACAGATGCTGCGAACCCATTTGTTCATGTCGTCCTCAGTCTCAGCCACCAGGTAGAAGGTCCTGTCACTTGTCTTGATGTCAAAGATGTAGCTGTCCTGCAGTTCCTTCTTGTTGAAGGTCAGGCCCGCGTCCACTTGCTCACAGAAATTGAGGTTGATAACACGCAAAGGTTTCTTGGAGTGGTCATTTTTGTAGTACTCCAGAACGTCGGGGTCACCACTCATCCGACCACTGCGCAGGACGAACCAGCGTTTCTTCCATGCCTGAAACCAAGAAAAGAGGAAGCATGAACCCTATCACTGAATCTGTGAGAGTGAAAAACCACTGCTAGGCACAGGGTGACACAGAGGGACATGACACTTCTCCACCATGAGATGCTGTGGGATGTTCCTCAGGACATCCCTGAAAGAGGTGCATAGACTCAGCTCAGTTCTTCAGTTCAACACTAAAATCCCACTGGTTATTCAGGAGAATTAAATACTGAAATAGTATTGTAGCATAAGATGACACCAAGAAGGCTCAGAGTCTTGAGACTCAGATCAACCTTGCTCCTACCCTACAGCCCAGCCACACTCCCAGGACCCAAATACTCTTCTCTTCTTGATGTGAGATAATCTGTGCAGTGGCATTACCAGTCACGGCAGTGCCAAAATGCCTTTCAGAAGCTTGGAGTTGTTCAGGCACTTTGGACACAGCACCCTGGGTGTTCTGACCTTCAGAGAAACCCCTGCGACCATCATAGCATGTGTCTGCAGATACCAACCACGTCAATCCCATCTCTGTTTAAATGCCAGGATAGAAAGAATAGTAAAACCAATAGGGAACTGGTTTGTTTTTTTAAATATCAGGAATAATGCCAGGGAGGCCCATGGAGAATCCAAGCTTCATTTGTTTTTTAGCATCCTTGGCTCCCTGGCATGTAGGCAACTCCTTGCAAAGGAAAAGGTTATCACTGATTCTTCCAAGCACTGCTGACGGCAGCCCCTGGCCAAACCACCCATGGAATGGACTCAGGGGGTTACGAAGTTTAAAGCAAATCAGCAAAATAAATGTCAGCCACCAGTCCTGGCCCTGAAAGCTACGGCCCTACTGCTCTCCCCAAGCCAAATGCAACTGGGAGCCCACAGGAGGGGGAATAGCCACAGTGATAATGTGCTAAATGCTAAAACCTAAATTACATGGAAAACTGTGCAATGTAACTCCCCATCCTATGGGATGGACAGTGGGTTTTTCTGGGGTGTTCTCCACAGGAGGATCATGGCACCTATGTGAGGGATGCACAGGTTGAGGGACCACCTCAAGCTGCTGTCCATTGCAAGAGGTCTGCTGCCTTGCAGAGGTCTCAGCACCCAGGGCCTGTGGAAGGGAAGGGCTACATCTAAGCATGGTCCTCAAAGCAGTTTGTTCAGGATGTCTTTGAAGGCAGCAGAGGTTTGAGAGGTGCATGCAGATGAGTGGGGCGATGTGGATTATTACCAGTGCTCCTGCATTACCTGACACACACCTCGGTTTGTACCAAAGGACGCCAAGGGAGGGCAATGTGATCCCCACCATCCCACCCTGGCTGTGGACCTTTTTTCTTCTGTTAATGAGATTTCCCTCATTTATATTTTTATATATATAGCCAGTTTTGGAATTCATATGATTATAAGAGGTTGGGTCATGAGGAAGCACATGATGTCCTTAAGAAAGAGAACTAAAAGCCACAAACATTTTTAATATCCAAGGGAGGCAGCAGGGCAAGTGGTGTGCTGGGTCCTCCATGATGCTCCCCAGGTGCTGACCACAGCCCTGTGAGGCTTTGCATATTGGTGATGGGCATGTGCTAGATCTCAGCCAGCCAACTGCACGAGGATCCCACGATTTTGGAGAATTTTGTGGCTGTAATAAGGGTAAGAAATGTCTGCGATGTTTTCCCCGAACAGAATGATTCACACCATCCTTCTCAAAGGCTTAAAAATAGCTTTTGGTGGTGTCTTTTAGATTTGTAACCAAATTAGTTTTACACTAATTCTCAAACCAGGTCCTGGTGCCAGGAAAGCAACTTCAGTGCAATCTTCTAGAGGCAGCGAAGCGGCAAATTGCTTAGCAGGAGGACGTGCAAGGCTGGCAGATTTTGGTTTAATCTAGGAGACAGTCACCCACTTCTCATCAAAACGGCTGCTTTTAGATGAAAAAATAGACACACAGTAGAGCTGTGTCCATGAGGGAGGGGAAAATCCAATTTCACCAGGTAGCAGCAATAATTTGCTAGTCTATCTATCTCCTCAAAACGGATCACCCAAATCTTTGGAAAACAAACTCATGAACATTTTTTTCTAGTTCTAGGTGGAAAATGTCCCATTAGCTTCTTCCTGTTAGCACTGAGTCATTTCTTTGCAGTCACTTGGCGGGGCGAATATATAGGCATACATCAGTGAAAGAAGATGGAGTTGTGCAACCACATGAACCATCACCTGAATGAAGACACATCCAACACCAGTTCTGGCTGCTTAGCTTGTTGCTTTCCAACCATTTGGAATGTAATCTTGCAGCATCCCTTCTTGGCTGAGACGCTGCATTAAAAAACCCACTAGGTACAGAAACTAGACTCCAGAATTTAAAGTTTTCATGAAAAAAATAGGAGGAAATGCTGCAAGTAAGGCAAATGATGCTACCACAGCTTCTCTTTTAATCACTAATGTGAGAGCCACAAGTTCTCCAATTCTCTTTGGTCTGTCTGGTAGCAATGAAAAGCCCCACACAGTCAACATTTGGCAGAGAAAACAATATAACACACACGGTCTGCTGGTACTGAATAAGTTCTAGCATAGGCTGGTTGCAAAAGAATGGGTCTTGCCAGCACAAAATTTCTTGGGAAGCTTCAGGACCTGGAGTATCATTGGAGGATGGGACCACTGGACAGGGCAGCAGCCCCATCAGGCTGGGATGACCACCCAGTCCACCTCTGCATGGTGCTCTCCTGATGATAAAGAGTCACTGGTGTTCTAAAACAGCTTCTGACCCAGAGAAACAGCTCATGGCAGAAGCCTCTGTAGTGCCTATCCTGGACAGGTGGCTGTAGGCAGCACAGCTGGAGGCATCTCCCACCACACTTCCCTGCACTTCCTGCCTCCTAAGATCAGTTTCTGAACCAGAGAAATAAGCACTGATCACTAGAAGAGAAAGAAGTAAACAATAAAGAAATAGCCAGGAACCTCCTTATCTTTATAGAAATTTTCCCCATTTCTTCGAATTTTTGAACATTGAGCTCAGCAAGCGTATTTTATTTCTTCCTCATGGATTTGCTATGTCTTCATTAGGAACAGGGCTCAGCTTGCATTTGCCAGGTTGTGGCCGCTCTTGGAGCATCTCTTGGCACTATTGGAGCTTGCTTCAACATACTGCTACCCATGGCAAAGGATAAGGACTCTGCATCCTCCTGGGACACCCATTCAAAGCTATCAGTACCATCCAAATCTCCCACATTTAGGCTTCCCTAGGATATCATCTTCCTGCAAGAGGGTGATTTAAGGGTCTACTGATCACCACTTATGACAGCAGTAAGCTGTATGTGATCCACATGTGCACAGCAATCTCAGCCAATGCCAAACCAAAGGTGGATGCAACTCCATATGAACGCACATGCTCTTTCCAAGACCATCTTCCCCTGGCATGGGGCTGTGATGACCAACATTTATTTCCTCCTCCACTTGAATTTTCCTTCTCTCCCTACTTCTATTTCTTCCTAGCTCTTCTGCAGCCCCTGCTGCCATCAGTCCACTCCTGCCAAAGTATTGTGCCTCACCGGCCCGTGGTGTGAGCCAAGGGCTGTGTATGTTTAACAGCTTTGCAGTGCAGAGAGGCCAGCAGCTTAACAGCCATAAAATGGTGCCTTTGCAGCACAAACTTCCAGCTGTGCGGTCCTTTGCCTGCATCAGGTTCCTTCACAGTTCAATTACAGCTGCCAAAGGCCCTCAGTATCACTGAGAAATATTTTGACACTTGGCAAGTATATCTTTTAAAGACTTGCTTGTTAAAAAAAATGCCCATGCCCATCCATCATGCTCCCATTGCAATGTGAATCCTCCCTGGGTATGGAGAAATGTAACTGCTGCTTGATTGCCTTCCACCTCAACAGTGCCATGGCAGGTTAAAGTTTACAAACCTGACCCCTTTCCAGTTGGATGCTACTCGGAGCTAGTTGTTTTAAGGAAAGTTGGGTTGGCAGAGATGAAGTTGGTGCTGCTGGGTTCACTGGCTGAGCATACTCAGCAGGGATGCTCTGGGGGGCTCAGGCAGTGCTTGGGACTCTTCCTGTCCTTCCTCCTGGGTGAGGAAGTGGCTGCTCTTGAGCGACTGAGGTACCACCACAACCATACCATACCATGCCATGCCATGCCGTGCCATGCCATGCCATGCCATGCCATGCCATGCCATGCCATGCCATACCAATCTTCCTACCGCCACCATACTATCTTTCTACCACTCCATGAATGAGGTCCCTCATGTCCCCTGTGGATGTCCTGATGACACAATGCTGTGACAGAGATGGTGGCATCATGGAAGGGGGCTCAAACTGTCCTTTGTCAGAGAATCTGGGGCCTCCAAGTACCCAAATGCAATTAAGGACAGACCAGATAGAGGCTTTATTAACTATGATTATAGTGAGAGGATATTTCAACAGCATCTTCCCTTTTGCTCCCCTGTTCTCTGCAAAGTGATTGCAGATATCCAGCCAACATGCTGTTTCTGAAAAAAAGAAAAGGGGTGAGGAAAATTGTAATTTCAGTGTTACTAAAGCCAAGTATCCATCCCTGAGGAGCCTGCCAAGTGCCCCAATCCTAAGAAGGAATCAAATAGTGACAATATGGAGAGAGGGCTCTTGGTGGGGCCTATAGGAGAGGTCCACCCAGTATTATTTTAGCTCTGAAATCAGGTGTTGGAAACAGTTAGAAACTGTTATATTTGAGTTGAAAGGGATGTTCATTCAATTAGGATAAACTCCTATATATCAGATCCCTCAAATCTGAAATATTATTAATTTTAGCAACACACTCTCATAGCATATAAGAGAAAAGAGAGAAGAGAGAAGAGAGAAGAGAGAAGAGAAGAGAAGAGAAGAGAAGAGAAGAGAAGAGAAGAGAAGAGAAGAGAGAAAGAGAAGAGAAGAGAGAGAAGAGAGAAGAGAGAAGAGAAGAGAAGAGAAGAGAAGAGAAGAGAAGAGAAGAGAAGAGAAGAGAAGAGAAGAGAAGAGAAGAGAAGAGAAGAGAAGAGAAGAGAA